GCTCCTTTGCAAGAGCCTCGAACAAAAGCCAACCCTTCTTTCGCTGTGCTTCTGGATTTTAAGCCTGGAGGCATCGTTGTCTCATGGGTTGGTTTTTTTTTCCTCCCTCTGCAGCTACAAAGGATAAAAATGTGTTTTAAAAGACAAAGCTGCAAACCTGCATAAGACTTCGCCAATCCAGGAGCTGGGACATTTGAAAAGAAACTGTTGCGTGGCAAAGTACATGTTTCACCATAAAATTGTGAGATATAATGATGCTAGTTATTGAATATTTATAAAACAGGCACGCTTGCTCCTTGTGAGAAAAGCTTAGATACTTTCCAGCTCTCAAAAACTGTGAGACTAGCCAAAAAATCTGCGGCTGGAAGACAGCCAGCACATACCCAGGCTGAATGATGACAGCCCGTAATCATTTTTGTCTCATGGCAGATGACTGGCAACAAGCATGTATAAGGTGCAGCCTTCTCCTGGTGCAGCTCTTCTGTTTGATTGCCTGAAGTGCAGGGATAAAAATCATAAAAAATCACTGAACAAGGGAATAATTTGCTTTGGAGGTCAGAAGTCTTGGATCTGGATGTAAATAATTGAGATTATCAATCTTAATGGCAAACACCTCGATTTTCAGTACTTCTTGTCTCTCCTTAACAGACCTCTGCCTGGCCAAAACCCTGCTTTTTGCCTTGCCACCATCCTGCAAAGCTGCTAATTAAATGCAGAGGGACTGTCCCTTGCCTGAAGCAGAGGAACAAACTCCCCACCTGCCACCCAGACACCTCACACCATGCAGACTGGCTTTGGATACCTGCTTTTGCCCCCCCTTAACCCTCCAGCAAAACCCCCTTTGCCCCTGTGATGCAGGATCAGGCAGGCTCCTGCCTCCTGGAAAAAGCCATGTGAACACCTCCAGCATCGCTGCCCGGGTGTCAACTGTCTATGCAGCAATGGGAACGGGCTTGCACCAGAGCATCACAGCTTTCTGTCCCTCTCACACACACGCTCCATCTCCAGAAGAAGAAATCTTGTCTGGTGAGGCTCTGTGGGGGCCACAGACCAGATGACACAGAGACCAGCTTGGAGCACGTATCTGCCCTGCCCTCTAGACGCAGACAGGGGAATCCAGCACAGGCACAAGCTGAGGAGGATTTGGTTTCCCCCTCCTTTAACTTCTCGTTGCATCTTCCACTGGGGAATCCTCCTGCTGCAGGACTTCCAAGTATATGAGGAGCATTGTTTGGGCAGGAGATGCTTGGACATCTGGCCTTAGTGGGTGCAGGACAACTGGCCTTGCCAAGGCCACAGGGAGGTGAAAAGGAGATGTTTGCACACGAGATGGGGCTGTCCACCTTCCCATGAACAGGCTCCTGAGTGGGCTGCATTCACTTTGGGTGAAATAAGGCGTGAAACGAAGCCCAGCTCCGCCAGCCCTGTTTCAAACAGCTGCTGGCAGATTCAGAAAGGATCCTGCTGGAGGAGGAGAGCACTCAAAGCCTTGTTGAAAGAGCATGAGGCAGGTTGAGAGGGGAAAGCAAAGATAGAGGAAGAAAGCAGCTTTCGTGGTGCATTAAAAACTGGAGCTGGGTGGAGATCATCCCCACCTGCTCACCTCTCCCTCTTGAGCAAACAAATCAGCTTGCTGAGTTTTACAGCACCAAGGCTCAGCCTAGGCTGCCTGGAGCTGGCCCAGCCGGTCACTCACTCCCAGGGTCCCCAGCTTCCCCCAAAAAGCACCACAGGCTTCCCTCACTGCCTTGGCTCACCCAGGACTGTGCCAGTGATTTAGGCTCTTAGCAGGGCCAAAGCTGGACAGAGCAACAGTGGGCAGACCGGTATTGGGGGCAACGTTTCTCAGGGAGGGGATGTCCCTGCACCTTCTTCAGCCACATCCATTTTGGGACTAATATGCACATGCTTTTATGCCCAGCCCCATAAATTATACAGTGAACCTCAAGGCCACAACTTCAAAAAAGGGGGCTGGAAAAAGCACACACACACAAACAAGAAATGCCTCTTCCCAACACCTCCAAAAGCCCTTCTGGGTCCTGCATGGCCCTAGATCACCACACAGCATCACCAAAACCAACCTGGCAATGGATTCCGGATCCCAAACCCAATTCAGAGATGTTCCCTTCTGCACAACCCGTTCCAACCTGATTTAAGGCTGAGACTGAAGGCTGAGACTTTGCAGCATGCCTTTACAAGTCTTTTCTCAGGGGACCGATTTCCTCTTCCATCTCATTAGCAGCCACCAGCAGATGCTGTTTCCCCAGCAGAAGCTACACTCGACTTGTTACAGCCATCTTAAAACCACCCTGTTATTTCTTCCCTCATCACAGACACAGCAAAGCCTGGAGAATATTTATCAAGAAGCAGATGCAGCAGCTTTATATAGTTAATCCCAGGTCATTAATCTCTATCAAGAGTTTTCATGATCTTCCTCAGCTTCACCACGTTTGTTTAACTCTCAGACGGTCACTCTGTGGAGCTCTGGGTAATTGCAGATTAACTGCTTTTCAATATTAATGGCTCCTCATTAATGCGCTGGGCTCCCTCCCCTCCAGAGCCTGGGCAATAGCTATTATTATTATACTTTCTTTTCATCCTTTGGGACTAAATACAATGATACAAGCCCAAATCTTCCACGTGCCATGGCTGCTTTGTAGCAGAATTATTTCAGAGCAAGGGCGATCACCTTCTCCAAGCAAATGCAGCAAGCTTCCTCCCACAGATGGCTCAGAGGAGCGGCTCCCAAGCCACCCCAAACTGCAGTGTACTGAAGGATGGGTAGGGACAGTGGCACCTCTCCTCATCCTTCTAGCATCCCTCCCTAGGAGGGATCTTTACCCATGTAGTCCCTATGCCAAGGCCACACGAAGCTGGGCAGGGCAGGACCTGTGGCCATAAAAACCTCCCAGATTCCATGAAACGTGCCCAGAAGTGATGTAAGGGCTGCAACCCAGCCTTCATCAGGGATCTCATCATGGCATGAAAGCAAGAGCCTCAGCCCCTCCACCCTGGCAGCACCTCCAGGTACCAGGGCTGCAAACCTTCCTGCACCAGCACAGCAGAACCACATGGGGTGGACAGAGCCAGCACTGTGCTGCCTCATCTGCATGCTCTGTGGGGATGGTCACTGGCAAGTCCCATCCTCTGAGGCACATCTTGGGATGCACGAGTCAGCACGGGCTGGGAGCAGGCTAAGAGCAGAGCCATGTGGACAACCAGTGGCTGATTTTGCTGTCTCATTTAGCCTCTAGCCAGGATGCAGAGCATGCTTATTGGACAGGCACTGAAGAGCTAGTCTTGAATGTCTGACACCTTCCTCACCAGCTCGTCCTCTTTGTCTCCCCTGAAGCCTCGTAGGGTGCTTCAAGATCTTGGTCTTGTTTAAAAGCCTTCCCAGAACATGTAAGGCCTTCCTACGAACTCATCTCTTGCCGAGTTATTCACAGCCAAAGAAACTGCCCACCCCATGCTGCCAGCACATCCTCTGCTTTAAAAATATCACCAGACTCAGTGTTTTTGCATGAGCTTGAAGCTTTGTGTGTATTCGTCCCCCCAGCCCTTGAGCGGCTGGATGAGCTGGCTCCTGTGCCCATGCCATCCCCTCCAGCATCCTCTGCTCCGCATCCAGCCTTGTTCAGGGTGCCAAGCGCCCGCTCCAGGCATTACACAGGGCATGAGCTGCACCAGCAGCCAGATCATCTCTTGGCCAAAAAAGAGCACCGAGTCCCCTATCTGCTGACACTGAGCTGGACCGACACGTCCAGATGCTGCTCAGCAGAAGCCGCTCGCCCCTCCACAAGCCCTCCATCCTCCCCTCCAGGTGGTGGAGTCCCCCAACTATCTGGGGGGCAGGGGCAGCTTGAGGTGGGACTTCAGCCCCAGGGCTTTGTCGACCACGTCCGGGGGCTGCAGGCTGTGCCACTGGGCGAGGGGCCGGCGCGGGTTGGACAGCATGTCGGACCAGTGCCGCAGCTGGTTGCCCGTGGCCCGGCAGCCCAGGAAGAGTTTGCCAATGGGCTCGTTCTTGGTCACTTTGTCGTGATCCCAGACGGAGATGACCACGTCCACGTTCTGGGGAAGGGAGCAATGACATAGGAAAGAGGTTCAGTGGGAGGGGGCTCACCGCAGTAGGGACCAGCTCAGCCCTGGGCACTGCAGGGAAACCCACCTGGATCTGATTGAAAGGCACGTCAAAAACAAACATCTCATTGAAGTAAGGTCTTAAGGTGTTTTTCTTCACGCTTGTTGTCTTCTTCTTCCATTTCTTCCTGTTCAGGATGAGATGTACCTTAACAAAAGGATCTGAGGAGACAGAGGACATGGTTGGCACAAGTGACAGTTTTCATTGAGATCAGCCATGAAACAAACTCCCTGGGCCATTCTCAAGCAGAGCATGGCATCCTGCTTGTCACTCCTCGTGGTGAGCATCCACCTCTCTTCCCCTGCCAGCCACCCCCAGAGCTCACCTCCTCCTGCCACGAGCTGCCTGCACCATCCAGCCATGACATCTCCTCCTGGGAGATATCTCCAGCTCTGCCCAAAGCTGGAGTATCTGTGCTGGGGAAGGCTAGGAGCCAGCCAAAGGCTGAATATGGTGGTGAGAGAGAGGAGCAGGTCTCTGCACCAAGAGCTTTCAAGGCCTTGCAGCTCTGGGTGCCATCATTAAGGCCTGGGCAGGGGTAGGGAGATCTGAGCATAAGCAGTCCCTGCTGACCTGAGAGTCCATGGGAGTCCATTCGCTTCAGTTTCTTGGCTTCCAGGATGAGCACTGTTAGCTTGCCGGTGCTGGGGACATAGCGCAGCGAGAAGCAGATCTCCCCCAGCTGTTCTTCCTGATGGAGAGATGCCAGTGATGAGCACCAGGCTGAGGAGCCTGCTCACCTGAGGCTGGAGCATGATGCTGGACTCGGGTTTCTCAGGTGTCCCTCACCCTCATACTTGCCCCCAAGGTCCTGCTTCTTGACCTGGTGGTAAGCAAAGCAAAAGCAACATCACATCCCTCCTGGCAGAGTTTCCCACCCACCAGGACCAACCTCCACTTTACTGGCCACTGCCAGGTTGCTCCACTGCTCAATGACATGCTGCAGGCTGACACTGGCCAGGGGTAGGCGGACCTCACCGATGATGTCATGCTTGGTGAAGCGGTTGAAGTCATAGATCTGCATCACCAGCGTGGATTCAGGCACCTCTGCCTGGGGTACCTGCAGGAAAGGACCTGAAAGCCTGGACTCACTCCTCAGTGGCAGCCCTGCCCCATGGGACAGGGCAGCAGACATGATAACAGATCTTTCTGTCTGACACTTCCCGATCCCAGTTGCAAAGGCATCTCCCTGCCTGGAGAGGTTTATGCATGGGACACGGTGCCCATTCAATGCTCTTGATGGGACCACAAAACCTTCATCAGCTATAGTGTCCTACCTGGAAAGTGAAGCTCTCGTTGAAGATGGGGTTCAAGGTCTTGCGATAAACTTTGGTCTCGTACTTTTTCTTCGTATCAGATGTTAGGTAGACGATCACATATGGATCAGATGTGCCTCCACTGTCCATGGCCTTTAGCTCGGCTGCCTGCTTCACACCAACTTTCAGCTTAAAAGGAGCGATACACAAGGTCACTAGGTGGAGAGGATAGAGCCAGATGACTGAGGGTTCAGTGGAAAGCAAGCAAGTGCAGCAGGGAGGATGCCTCCACGCCTCGTGGGCATTAGAGCCGACAGGCTGTGGGCAGTGGAGGAGGTGCAAGAGGGTATGGCCCACCTCAGTCGGCAGCAAGGAGGGACCACACAAGAGCAAAGCCTTTTCCCTGCTGTGCCATAGCCACAAGCATCCCCACCTCCTGCGCGCGGAAGTTGTACTCCAGGGAGTACTGCAGCTTTCCTCGTCCCGTCTGCTCCATGCCCTGCTCCAGGTCCTCCATCTCAGGCTGGACCTGCAGAAGAGAGCGGCACTATCCCTCAGGACGTGCTCAGCCACATCCCCAGCCGTGCCATGTTCCCACCACCCCCAGGACCAGGCAGTGCGGCAGCAAATCTCTCAGGGAGGAGGAAGGTGGGGGAGAGGGGAAAGCACAACGCACGAGGCTAGCCGTGGTGGAGCCACTGACAGCGCACAAGCTGACTCTCTCCTTCTTCTTGGACTTCTTCTTGCCACAGCAGCACCTGATGATGCAGATGAGGAAGAGGAGGAGGAGAATGGCCACTGCCACAGCGATGAGCGCCCATTTGGGTACTGGTGTGATGTTCAGGGAGCAGAGATGGATGGAAGAGTTAAACCCAAGCAAAAACATGTAGAATGCATTTAAACCTCTTCCTGGTGCTTCAGCGTTAAGGAGTTGTACTTTCAAAATTGCCCCTATAACCCTGGAGAGGCCCCACACAGGGAGGCTGCGGCTAGAGACCATACCCCAAACAGGCAGCAAGGACGCCCTGTGCTCCCAGAGTGCCACAGTACCACTCTGCAGCATCTCCACCCTGACAGACCCCGCTGGAAAAAGGGATTTGGAGGGAGGAAGATGTGGAGATGAAGCTTCAGAGTCTGGGAACCCCCCTGGATAATGCTGCCCAAGAGAGCGGGGCAAGCACCACCATACTCACATGGGATCTGGCTAAGCCAGCCGCCCAGGAAGCCTGGCTGAACCGTGGTGGCGATGGCCGTGGGGCTGCTGGGGAGCAGGGAGGCCATCGCCTGGCCTTTCCTGGCTGCCACCGCCGTGACTACGCTGGGGTGACCTGGAGACGCAAGCAAAAATAACAGGGTGGGGATTTCCTGTCCAGTAGCACATGCTGGTGGCCCAGGGCTCTAATGAGAGCAAACACAATTAAAACATAGAACCCAAGCATTTAGGGCTTGGCCACTTTGGCAACGAGGCGTGAAACAGGAGGGAACCACAGGCAGAGAGGGCTCTGTGCCAGCCAGCCCCTTTGCCTATGGGCTTTTCATTTGATTCGTTGCAAGCCTGCCTTCGGAAAGCAGAGGGAGGGGGGGATGAATTAGGGAGTTTTAGCTTATTTTTGAGAAGAGGAATCACCTGGCTGTAGGGGGAATAAAAACAAGAGCTGTTTTATACTGGCTCCTCCCTGGCCAGGAAGCAGAGCTTGCCAAGGATTTGCCCAGCCCCAGGCAAGCCCCACCATTAGCCAACACCCTTTTTTGGCTATTTTTGCCTCTCTCACAGGACTGAGGAGCAAGAGGATTTGCTCTTGGGCTTCCAGCGAGCCTGGTGTCCATGTTGCAGGTGGAAGTGGAGATGGTGGTACCACAAGCTGGGGTCATGCTGGCTCGGAAACATGACCCACGCACATGGCAACATTGATGCAGCTTAAGGGAAGGCTTCAAATTTAAAGCAGAAAGGTTTTTCACTACTGCTCTCCCCATAGCAAGCCCCTTATTCTAGCATGAACACTTCCTTGTAGCCAAAACTTCCTTCTTCCTTCCTTTTGGATGAGGAGCGGCAGCAGGAGAGGTGTGCCAGGAGCTGGGCTGCATGGCGAGCGAGTCTGCAGCCATCACAGTGTGCGGCACCCGGCCCCGGTGCCATGACTGTGGCTGGCAGGTGTGTGCCTGTTTGCTGCCGCAGCTGCCTGCCCCACGTCTGAGCAGGTCCCTGCTCAAGCAGCAAATGCCACCTTGCTCTGCCTACGCTCTGCCCACCCTCCAGGGCCATGGCTCCTTGCACAGAGATCTTCCTGGGGAGTCACATCACTGCGCTTCCCTCTGCTGAGCCCGCGAAGCCAGCAGGAGCCTTTAATTTTTCCAGCAGTGGGCTTTGCCACATGCAGGCATAGGGCTGGAGGGACTTGAGAATTGCTGTCATTGCTGCGGCATCATCGCTGGGGCAATGAGGTGCAGAATAAGTGACTTGCCCAGGGCCACCTGGGCCATCATCTGTGCCATTGGACACCTGAGCTCCGCTCACAGCTTCGCTGCCAGTTTAACGACCAGTTTCTCCTGTCCCCTCACATAGAAATCAGTAGCCGGTGACATGCCTGTGATATTTAGGAGGTGCCAGGCTGCGGCTTTGGGCTGTGGCTGTGGGTAGACATGACAGTGCAGGCACTCACCCAGCACAGAATTAGGTGTCTCAGCACTTTCTCCCTGCCAGACCTCCATGGGCTATGTCACATTAGTCTGACATTGGCCCTGGTTTAAAAAAAACCTCATCCCCGTCCCACAGGGTGACCTGAGCTGCTGTTTTGGGTACAATGGGGGCAGCCCTGCTGCAGTCTGGGAGAGGCAGTGAAGTCTCGGTGGGCTCTGCAGGGACCATCGAGCATCCCTGCTCCTGGAAAAGGGGTTGGGGGAGCCCTGCTTCTTGCTCCCACCCTGTGCTGACTGGGGTCCCGAAACCAGACTTACCGATGCGTGTCCTTCCCAGGTTCAGTCTCCCTTCACTGCTGTGTGGGCTCCTGGCCCAGCCACCACATGTGGCAGGGGCATACTGCAGGGTGAGACGGGACCCTGCAAGGCACAAGGGCCAAGAGTGCAGCAGGGTGGTGGCTGCACACTACAGCCAAAACAGGAAAGTCTGCTTTGCCAGCCCAGCAACCGGGCGGCCCCAGCAGCTCCGTCAGCCCCACCTCGCCGCTGACCCAAGCGGTGCTCACACAGGTGAAAAGCCAGCAGGGAACTCCCTGCCGGACCAGGAAGCAAAACCTGCCCTCCTGCCTGCAAGAAGCTGGTGGGCAGCACTGCCTGGCTCTGTGCCCTGGCAAATTCACTTCTCCAAGTTACCCCTGCAGCAATGCTGGGCTGCACCGCATGGCTGCAGGGACTTAGTACAAGGGGATGGATGCGTGCAAGGGGATGGGTGCGTGCAAGGGGACGGGTGCATGGCTACATCCATCTCTGGTGAGCTCTGCACTTGGGGATCCCAGTTCGTTGGCCCACTGGGGCATGCAGTGGTTTAATGCACCATGCGAGGGCCCAGGAAATGCATGCTGCAGTGGGCGTGAACAGGGATGCTCCGCTCCAATGCAGCAGGGAGGACAGACAGGGTGAGGGGATGCTGCTTGGGTGGCTCCATCTCCCAGTGCCAACAGGAGCAGCACCAGGCACATGGCCAGGAGCGATTTCACCGGCATCCCTGCCGCATGAAATTTATGTTTGCACACTTCTTCCCTTGCTGCCAATTCAGCAAAGTCAGCCCAAAACCTGCCTTGTCACCACAGAAATTTGGGGTGGTGCCGGAAGCAGTGATACTACTGGTGCCCAATGGCTGACGGGGACATGGGGGTAGAGGCCCTGGAAACCAGACCCGTCCCACCTCTGCCTGGCCACCCTGGCACACTGGTCCTGCCAGGTTTTCACATGGCGACCAAGGTGTTGCCACAGCGGGCACCTGGCCATGGGAGAGGTGCCAGGGCTACCCCTCGGCCATCCAAAACGCTGTCCCACTCGCAAGTGCCCTGCACTCTTGCTACTCAGAGAAGCATCATCTCCAGGAGCAGGAGATGCGGCGGGAACAATGCTGCAGCAAACCTCTGGGAGGGAAACATAGATACCAAAACACTTTTCGCTCTAAACTGGCAGTTCCAGAGGATGCATAGGAGAAATGTGTAGGTGGGACAGGGGAAAAAGGGAAAATGCCCAATAAAATCAGTCAGGGAAAGGGGGTTTGCATATGCATGCTAAAAGCTGAGCTTATCAGTAGCCTTTTTGACAGGCTGTTTGCTAAAGACAAGCATTTCAGTGAAGCCAAGCTGCGCAGGACACCGGTTGCAGCCTGCGCTTTGGGAAGAGATTTGGTGATGTTGGTGATAACCTGGTGCCACACAGGGGGACAGCTGCTTAGCCTTAACGCAGGTGAGTTTGGTCTCCTTTGGCAGGAGCCAGGCTGGGGAGGATGCTGCTCTGGACCGTCGTGCAGCAGCAGGGCAGGGAGGTGCCCCATCTGGGCCAGGGAGAAGCTGCAGGATGGCAGCCGCCCCTCTGTGTGAGCCCCCCCGCCCAAAATCTCACTGTTGAGCAGAAAGGGGCTGTTGAAATACTGCACCCAGCATGAGCCTTGCAGGGCTGGGTGCTGCACAGCCTGTCCAGGGGAACAAGGTCCCAGCCCCAAAGTCGCTCCTGCTTGGGGCGGTGCGTAACAAGCAGCTTCCAGAGAAGAAGGGAAAAAGGACCAAAAAATGTTACAGTAAAATTGCAAATGTGATGAGCCCCCGCTGCACACTGCCAGCCCTTCTCCCAGCTGTCTGCATCTGCCTGCATACACTGCAAGCCACTCTTGAACA